TGCAGTATCTCTATGGAAGTAGATTGTCCAGTCTTCCTTCCAAGGAGTGGCTAGTGGGTTTGGACCTCCAGCCTTGTGGTTAGCAGTCAAATGCCTTCACCACCATATAGGTTTGATATTCAAGGATATGTAATGGAAGAAAAAACCTTTAATTTCATGGATAGAAGAGTTAAGACTGCAGCTTCTTAGTCATTTGTGCTCAAATTGACCTGCTGGTTGAGCTCGTGGCTCTAACAGAGGCTGGGAAGGATGTGTGAGAATTAGAGACAGAGTCCTTGCTTCAAGTCCCAGCCAGTAATAGATATGCAGATAACATGTAATTTCTGTGTCCTGTCCACTAGTGAATTACCACCACAGACCTGGTGTGGGGGAGGGTGCCTTAGCAGCTGAACCATGCAACCCCATGTAGAATGTGATTTGCACGTCCTCCACAGCCTGACCACGGAGCTCAGAGACCAGAATAAATAACAGAACCCAATCCATTGCCCTCAAGTCAGTTCCAACTCATGGCAACCCCATGTATTACAGAGTAAAACTGCTCCAGAAGCCTATTGCTGCCAGGCCTTTCTTCCATAGTGCTGCTGGATGAGTTTGAACTGCCAACCTTGAAGTTAGGAGTCAGAGCAAACTGTGCCTCCAGCACTGCCTCCATAATGTATAGAAGGTACTTACTGCATGTGGTGGTTATGTTTCGGTGTCAACTTGGCTGGGCCTGGTTGAGTGGCTGGGCAGCTGGTGGTAGTTATTCCCCATGATTAGACTGGCAATCAGCTCCATAGTGGAATCTACCATAAGCAGCTGAGTAGCTGCTTTGGGTATGTGGTCTGTTTCCCATATATAAGCAGCAGCTTTGGGAATGGTCTCTAGTTTATGGCATGCTTGGACCCTGCATGTAGCCATGTCATTTTTCAGCAGCCTGCCATGCTCTGCCAACCTGGGGACTTACAATGGACTTGAGTTAATGGCCTACCATGTAGTTTGGTAACATCGGGACTGTGCCTTTTTACTTATCAACCTTGGGCTTGGCAGCCTCAGCAGCCAGCAGCTGTCTGAGTGAAGGAAAGCCTCTAGCTTCAGTGGTCCAGGAGCTGGAAGCAAACCTGAAACCCAAGTCTAAGGGGCTTTCACCCAGCCCCTAGAGCCTGGCACTTTGAACTTGGACTTAAAGCCTCCAAACTGTAAGAGAATAAACTCCTGTTTGTTAAGGCCATGCCATTTGTGGTATATTCTTGTTAGAGTGGCACTAGGTAACCAGAACACTGTGTTTTTATGCAAACAATATACATAGTTTCCTGTTATGCGTGTTATATGCATGGGCACATTATATGCCAAAAATAATAATAAAAAAAAAATACAGTAATTGGCGTTTGTTGAATGAATGATACATAAAAATTCATCTCAGCTTTAGTATATCCCACTTGTCAGAACTTTGGTCAGAGATTTGCTAAGGCAACACAGTTGTGTGATTGGAGTTTCCCTTTTTGCAGTTGCGGGACTCCAGGGTACCCCTGGTACCCCTGGAGTCGTGTGAAGCAGCAGGTCCTCTCCATTCCCTTTCTCTTTCTCAGTCCACCCCCATGAAGTAGATATGAATGAGCAGGAAGAAGTCAGAGAGCAGTGGAGGAGGGAGGCAAGGAATAGAACAATCCAGTGATCTTTGACTAACCTGAAGATGGTGTCAGTGAGGTGGAGAATGAGAGCTGGTGTAGGAGTTGGGAGTGGAACCACAAAAAGGGTATTAACATTTGGTTAGACACTGTAATGGGAAATATTTTGAAATAAGGATCCTGTTGTGTGCAATGTGTGTATGCATGCAAGTGTGTGTGTGTGTGCCTGAGTGTACATGTAAGAGAGAAAGTGTGTGTGAGTGACTTTGAATGTGAACATATATGTGCCTGTGAATGTATGTGTGTGTGCATTATTTTGTTGTGTAGACACACTTGGAAATCCACAAACAGAAATTCTGAAGGAATAGACCATTATTTCCTTTGGGTGTAATAACAGAGACAGGCTTGGTCCTTTGAAATGTTTTCCTTAAAATCAGGGCTGCTTTTCTACTGAACAGATCAATAAGAAAAAAGTAGATTGTGCTGGCAGGCATGGTTGTCTTTGTGGAAGGCAAAATGTTCAGAAGGTCTTTGTTTCCTCTTCCACTTCTCCTATTAATCACTGCTGACAGGCAAGTGCCCAGAAAACTTAAGATAGCAACAGCCAAGGGTCAAAATATTTGGTTCTATTTTTTTTAATGGTAAAAGCTGCTTAACATTTTGCACAAATGAGAACAGTTAAGTATCTTAAATGCATCACGCCCAGGCAGTTCAGAAAAATGTACTGATTATAAGAAAAAATGACTTCTGTGCACACAGAAGTGGCAATGAGGGATAGCCCCTCCAAGAGATTGGTCTGAACATCCTGGTATTATAATTAAAATATATGGTGACTTGTTTTCAGCAGGGTGGTTAACAGACTCCCAAACATCTACCTAATATCTGTGCTGTCAGATATATGAGGGCTAGAGGTGCTTTTCCCGTTTTCATTGTGCATTCGTTAGCATATATCTGAGGAAATGATATATCTTAATTAAGTAATAGGCACTGTATTTGGAAAGGGTAACAAACCCAGCCCTGGCCGTTAGTAAAGCAGAAGATACTGCTGTCAAGCTTGTTCTCTTCCCATAGGATGTCTAACTGAACCCTTCTGCACCCACTCTGCAGGGCCACATGAAGGGCCCCATTTCCATTTGTGTCTTGCTGAGTTAACCAGTTGACATGGCTTTGATTTGATATAAAGTAGTTTTCAAACAGTAGATTTTATGATTCTTCAGTGAAAGAGTTTTAAGGAATTACTGCAACATAATATCTGCTTGTAAGTAGAGCTTCTCTTATAAAGAAGAAGGAAAATGAATGTTTTTTTTTTTCATACAAAACATTAATCACTGGGATGCTTTCTCTGATTGAAGTTTATGAATAGTTTTTGTTCAGCCTAATTTATTTTTAACCTTTCTATAACTTCTATTTCCTTCCTGTATAACATTACCTCGTATTTATTCCTTCTTTGAGATATACAGAGACTGCAGTGTTCCTATGTATGTTTTCAAACACCAGATGCAGTCTACAGACTCTTGGCTCACAAACCTCAATGATTCTGCACTTCTTAAGTACCGACCTCTCTGACCTACTTTTGATGCATCCTTAGTGTTTTGATTACTTCCTGCTGCTGTAACAGAAAATACCACAAATGAGTGACTTGAACAAACAGTTAAAGTTACTCTCTTACGGTTTTGGAAGCTAGAAGTCTGAGTTCAAAGTGCCAAGCTCTAGGGGCTGGGTGAAAAAGCCCTCGCTCAACCTTGGCCTTCAGCTCCGCCTCTTGCTTCCAGCCCACTGAAGCTAGAGGCTTTCTTCACTCAGGCAGGTGCTGGCTGCTGAGGCTGACAAACCCAAGGTTGACAACTAAAAAGGAACAGTCCCAATATTACCAAACCATATGGCAGGCCACTGATTCAAGTCCATTAAGAGTCCCAAGATCAGCAGACAACATAGCTGACTGTATGCAGGATTCAAGCACACCGAAAGCTGCAGACCATTCCTAAAGCTTCTCCTTATATTCTTCAGCACAGACACCATTCCTGCTATACCCCCTGTGTCTGTGCCTATTCCTCTTTCATCCTGGGTAAATTCTCTCATCTTTCAAAGTGTGAGGTTCAAGCACTCTATACACCAAGTCTCTTTGACTGCTTCCACCACACTGATCACTCTTTTTTTTTTTTTTTAAAGAAAATTTTATTTTGTTGTTATTGAGAATATATACAGCAAAACATACACCTGGACCAATAGTTTCTATGTACCATTTAGTGATACTGATTACATTCTTCGAGTTGTACAACAAACAGTTTTCACCCTCCTTTTCTGAGTTGTTCCTCCCCCATTAGCATAAACTCACTGCCCCTAAGGTTCCTATCTAATCTTTTGAGTTCATGTTGTCAGTTTGATCCCATATAGATTATTCTTAAAAGGGCATAATGTTTAAGGCAGACTTTTTTTTTTTTTTTTTTTTACTGGTTAAGCTAAACTGTTGCTTTAAGAAGACTTCAGGGCATATACACTGATTAGTCTTTAGTTGGACACTTAATTTTCCACACTAACATTTGGATTATTAACTATATATGCTCTAAACCAAAAACCTACTGCCCTCAGTCGATTCCGACTCATAAAGACTCCCATTGGGTTTCTAAGGTGGTGAACCTTTACAGAAGTAGATTGCCCCATCTTCCTTCTGTAGAGTGGCTGGTGGGTTTGAACCGTCAACCTTCTGGTTAACAGTCAAATGCCTTAGGCACTGCACCACCAGAGTTCCTTGCTCTAAGATGTATATATCTTTTATCTCCAATCAGTTGATAGATACCTCAACCTCATACTTTAAGTGTTTTTAATGCCCAAGCATAGACACTTCCAGTTATTTTTGCTGTTAATTGTCATTGAGTCATTTCCAACTCATGGTGACCTAATGTATAGCAATGAATTGTTGCCCAGTCCTGCACCATCTTCATAGTCACACATAGTAGGCACATCATAAATGCTTTTGAACAGATAGATGTCAAAATATTTGCTACATTCTTAAATTTGGCTACTTTATGTTCTTCTTAGTAGATCTGGTATGGGAAGCAGCTCCCAGGCTCCAGGCTCGTACACAGAAGTGAGAAGTGGGCTCCACCCTCTATCAGCCAAGTGTGTGTTCCCTTGATGATGTCCTAGGACCTAATGTTGCCTCAGGTGACACATCCTGACTTCTGTCATTTACCTTTCAGTCCTACATGGAAGACCACCTGAAGAACAAGAATCGCCTGGAGAAAGAGTGGGAAGCGCTATGTGCCTACCAGGCAGAGCCCAACAGCTCCATGGTGGCACAGAAGGAAGAGAATATGCAGAAGAACCGTTCTTTGGCTGTGCTGACGTGTATGTATGGCCTCCTCTGACAGTACACTTCTGTTTCCCTGTGCTTTCCACTGGAATGGGAAGGTGATGGGTTATAGATAGGTGTAGACTACACCTTCATATTTTTCTCTTTATTGTTATAGCTACCATTCTCACAGTTTGGAAAGCCCTTCCCCTAGTTGTCTCCCATAACCTCTTCTTTACCAGCAAACTTATACTCCTCTTTTAAGACCAGTGTAAAATAAGCATCACCTCCTCTGTGGCACTTTCCCAAGCCTATACAATACAGAATTCATTTCTTCCTCTGGGATCCAATGGCATGGAAACTTGGCTTTAGGAAACATCTAAACCCAAGAAGAATATTTGCTCTGTTGTGTTCTATTAGCTGTGTGATTTGAGACAACTTTCTTAATGTCTCTGAGCCTTTTCTTTATCTGTAGTTGGAATCATACTCTCTTCCTTGAAATATTGCTGCTAGGAGGATTAGATGAGTAACTAGCACAGTGCCTAGCACAATGTGAGAACAAAATATGTAGTGGTAGCTATTACAGCATTTTTTACAATTATTTCAACAAACATTATTGAGTACCTATTGTATAGCTCTGGTAGCATAGTGGCTAAAGCACTTGACTGCTAACCAGAAGTCTGGCGGTTCAAACCCACCAGCCACTCCTCGGAGGGAAGGTTGGACAATCCTACTTCCGTAGTGATACTGCCTCGGAAACCCAAGGAGGGGTCGCTATGAGTCGGGGCCAACTCGACGGCACATAACAACAACAACAACATTGTCTAGCTAGAAAGTGGAGATTAAAAAAAGATTATCTAAAGCAACTTACCATCCAGTAGAGGAGACAGAGTCTTGTATTATCCTTTGCATGTGGTGTGATAAATATTTTTACGTCATGTAGAGAGCCCACCAGGACTTACAGGGACCAGATAACTACATGTAGCAGTCAGGAGTGACTTCATTTGACATTCTCCCCCAGGACCAGGTGCTCCTAGGCTTATTCCATTCAGCTTATATTAATTATATGCCTCTTATATGCTTAATAGATTCCATGCAAGGTTTTGAACTTTAAGCAATACATAAACATATCCTACAGGGAGGAAAGGTATTTTCAGTATCTTTGTGACCACAGTTTCTGACATAAATAGACACTCCTTAAATGTTAATTTCATGAGTAAATGAATGGCTGTGTGTGTATAGAATTAGTCCGTTACTGTTTTACTGGAATCTTAAGAAGAAGTAGTCATAAATACTTGAAATATGATAAAATATACTTTATCAGCTTGCCTTTTTGACAACAAAGCAAAGGCACATGAAATTCCAGTTCAGCATTACAAAAGCATATAAGATCAACAATTCATCATGGCAGTGATGGCCATTTTGTCACATGCCTCAGCTCTTTGGAGCCAGTCCTGGGCACTGATCTGGTGCTGTCCAAAGACACTGTCATCCTGTCCTGACAACCTTCATCTCTAGAGGCAGCCTCTGTCAACTAACCCAGGAGAAGCAGCTATATTTGCTGTCCTTTAAATAGCAGGAATTTGATCAACAAGTATAGGTTAAAAAGATTCTAGTAAAAACTAGAATCTTGTTTTTCTTGAGAGACTAACCTGAAGAATCATAGACCTCTGTAAAATTCAACCTATACTTTTCAGCATAATTTTTTTTCTTACAGTTTAGTCAGGTTTCAGTGCAGGCCCTCTTTCAGTGTAGAGCTCATTTCTGTGAGCTCTGAAGGAGTTTTTGTTTTCCCTAAAGAGCCCCAAAAGGGGGAGCTGTGTGATTTATAAGTTGATATCAGATGAAAAGCAAACTAGCAAATAAGGTGACTGACAAGTATTTATTAAATACCTACTATGTTCCAGGGACTATTGGTAGACTTTGGGACACAAAGTGATGGTCAAAACCCAAACTTGCTGCCCTAGAGTCAGATCCGACTCATAACGACCCTCCTTGGGTTTCCGAGGCAGTATCACTGTGGAAGCAGATTGCCCAGCCTTCCTTCTGAAGAGTGGTTGGTGGGTTTGAACCACCAGCCTTCTTTCTGGTTAGCAGTCAAATGCCTTAGGCACTACCACACGAGCGCTCCCTAAGGGATGGTCAGTGTTCTCAAAAAGCAAGTTGTTCAGGGAGGGAATGTTGAACTATGTCTTAAATAAAGTTGATTTTTTGGGTAAATTTGCATTCATTCAGTAAGCACATATTCCCTGGTTGGTGTGCGTGGCTACTAACCAAAAGATTGGAGTTTGAGTCCATCCAGAGACATCTTGGAAGAAAAACCAAAAGACTGAACTCATTGTCATCAAGTTGATTCCACCTCATAGCAACCCCTACTGGGTTTCTGAGGTGGCAAATCTTTATAGACGTAGATTGCCCATCTTCCTTCCACAGAGCAACTGGTGGGTTTGAACTGCCAGTCTTCTGTTTAGCAATCAGGTATCTTAGGCACTAGACCACCAGAGGCCTGGCAATATACTTCTGAAAAATCAACAGTTAAAAACCCTCTGGAGCAGAGTTTTCTACTCTTATACACATGGAGTTGCCGTGAGTCAGAATTGACTTGATGGCAAGTGGAAGCATATACTGAATGTGTTCTGTGTACCTGATTATTTACTTGGGTTATTAGGTTTCTTATTAAAAAAAATAAACATTGCTGTTGAGTTAATTCCTACTCCTCACAGTAACCCTATGGGACAGAATAGAACATCTCCATAGGTTTTCCAAGGCTGTAAATCTTTATGGAAGGAGACTGCCACATCGTTCTTCCGCAGAGCAACTAGTGGATTTAAACAGCCAGCCTTTCAGTTCTCAGACGAGTGCTTACTCACTGTGCCACCAGGACTCCTTTTAGGTCTTTTATACTAAATGTTGATGTGGTACCTAAGACATTTGACTGCTAACCAGAACGTTGACAGTTCAAACCTATCAGCTGTTCTGTGGAAGGAAGATGGGGCAATCTACTTCTGTAAAGATTTTCCTCCTTGGAAACCCAAAGGGGATCACTATGAATTAGAATGAAGTCAATGGCAATGAGGTTGGTTTTTTGGTTATAGTAAATGTTAAAATTCTAAACCTTTTCCTCTGAGACCGTCTCCATTCACATACATGATACCCTGAAACATAACAGAAATGTGACCATGTTGTTTCCATTCTGTTCACTCTGTAGCCCATGGTGGCCACTTGAATTCTCTCTGTACCATGATAAACCAGTTGATTCACAAGCAAGGAATTCAGTAATGGTAAAATAATCACTCCTGGGACTCAGAAGCAGGCAGCCACATCTCTCAAGGTAGCAGTTTGCTGATGCTCCCAGGAACCCAAGAACCAGGGCCCTGGAGGGCTTTGAAATTTGTTTCTTTGATTAGAGCACTCAAGGCCTGACTATTAGAACCAGAGTGAAAGGCTAACAAGAGGAAATAATTTCTTTATTGCCTCTAACATTGGAAGTTAGAAAGAGGCTGTCTATAATTTGACTGGTACCTCTTCTCACCAAAAAATGAAACTAGTTGCCATTGAGTTAATTCCATCTCTGGGTGACACAGTAGAACTAGGCTTCATAGTATTTTCAGTGGCTGCCAGGCTTTTCTCCTAGGTGCTTCTGGGAGAACTTGAACCTTTAACCTTTTGGTTTGCAGCCAAGTGCATTAACCATTTGCACTACTCAAGAACTCTACTCCTCAACCAAAACCCCCTTTCCCAGTGTTCCACCAATCAACTGCCTTCGAGTTGATCTCAACTCATAGTGACCCCTCCTTGCGTTACCAAGGCAGTATCTCTATAGAAGTAGATTGCCCCATCTTCCTTCCGAGAAGCAGCTGCTGGGTTTGAACCTCCAGCCTTCTGGTTAGCAGTCAAATACCTTAGGCACTACTCCACCAGTTGTTGTTGTTGTTATGTGCCGTCGAGTCGGACCCAACTCATAGCAACCCCTCCTTGGGTTTCCAAGGCAGTATCACTACAGAAGTAGATTGCCCCATCTTCCTTCTGAGGAGTGGCTGGTGGGTTTGAACCACCAGCCTTCTGGTTAGCAGTCAAGTGCCTTAGCCACTATGCTACCAGAGCTCCCAGAGCTCCCTTCAAATGGCTCATATGTCTGAAAGCTTTTAATGATTTATTATAAACATATAGACTAATGTTCATGATAATAAGCAAACATTAGTGTGATTGGAAGTTCCTTCTCACCAACTTCGACACTTTTGGTGATAGTGTTATTCATTTCATGTCTCTCGCTGGAAACCTGGGCACCCTCTGTACATTTTCTTCTCTTACCGTATCCTTTAACATAACTTTCACCAAGCCTATCATTTCTCTATTTGAAAGATCCAATGGTTTACCTCCTACTTACTCTTCTTGTTCCATCACCCTGGTCTTCCTTGGCCTTCTTGATTTTGCTGCCTCAGTCTCTGCCCTTTGAACTTCTCCTGCAAGCTGCTGCCCAGCTTAACCTTTGTAAAACCCAAGACACAAAAATAATTTCCCAGCTTTCAGGATCAGTTCCCGAATCTAAATCCACTAAGTTTATCCAATTAGATTCCCTGTGGTCCTAGCACCTTTCTCTCTATTCAATCCAGGAAGTCACCCTACACCATCCCACCTTCCTTCACATCTTTGCTGATTTAATTCCTGTTTGAAATGCCTTTCCTACCCCCAGTCAATGGCACATTGCCAGCTTAATCTGAAGGACAATTCATGTGGCAAGTTGCATAAGAAATCAAAAGTGGTAGGGCTAGCTACTTTGAGGTACCTTATAATACAGAAAAGGAGCTCTGGTAGCATAGTGCCTAAGGCATTTGACTGCTAACCAGAGGGCTGGTGGATCAAACCCACCAGCCACTCCTCAGAAGGAAGGTTGGGCAATCTACTTCCATAGTGATATCGCTTCGGAAACCCAAGGAGGGGTCGCTGTGAGTTGGGTCTTACTCGACGGCACATAACAACAACAACAACATAATACAGAGATTCTATCTACATTCTGGTTACTTGAAGGAGAAGGGAACCAGCATTTATTTATTTA